CAGAGTCGGATCATTTTCACAGAGTCAGATTACACAACAACCTCTAGGAATCTGAGAAGTTAATATATGAAGTATCCAAAACCACCGGAACATTCATAAGATGAGTCAACTTGTTGCGAAGAAGACAGCTTTACGAGCTCTGTTTCTTGTCCGTCGAGGCGGCGGTTTTGGTCCTTTTGGAGATTTCAAGCTCGGTTCTAAGCATGTGCAATATGTGCATTTGTAAATAATCCTCGAAACCCTTATGAAAATTATGAGATTTAGTTAAAAAGTTTATATATTTTAAATTTTGAACAATGTCGAAGTGTAGGAGGATGAGTTCTGCGTCAGCGGAGAAGAAAGATGAGAATTTGACGGTGACCAAAGATCAAAACGACGGTGGATCGGTGGCGGTTCCAAGTTATTGGGGAATAGAGACGGCGAAAATGAAGATTACTCGAAGAGATGGATCGGACTGGCCTTGGAACTGTTTTATGGTAGATATCTTAGAATTTGCAGTAGATAATTTAAGCATCTACTAATGAATTATGTATATTTTGATCAGCCATGGGAGACATATCAAGCAGACTTGTCTATAGATTTGAAGAAGCACCACATTCCGAAGAATATCGCCGACAAAATCGCTTACGGGACAGTCAAGCTCCTCCGTATCCCCACCGATATATTCTTTCAGGCATAATCCTCGTATTCGAATAGTTTACATTAATAAAATTCGCTGATTCGATACGGTTTCACTTCATATTCGGATTTTGACAACTACCTTCTTATATGATCTTGGCGGGTAGAGACGCTATGGATGCAGAGCAATGATGCTAGAGACAGTAGCTGCAGTACCAGGAATGGTTGGAGGAATGCTTCTTCACCTAAAATCAATCCGAAGATTCGTGGATCAAGGCATTACTCGAAGAAGCAGAGAACGAGAGAATGCATCTAATGACAATGATGGAGTTAGTCAAACCCAAATGGTACGAGCGTCTTCTAGTGATGCTTGTTCAAGGGATTTTCTTCAATTCCTATTTCGTTTGTTACGTGGTTTCGCTGCGGTTGGCTCATCGGATTGTTGGATATTTAGAAGAAGAAGCTGTACATTCTTACACCGAGTTTCTTAAAGATATCGATGATGGGAAGATTGTCATTGCTATTGATTATTGGAGATTACCTAAAGATGCTACGTTAAAAGATGTTGTTACTGTGATTCGTGCTGATGAAGCTCATCATCGAGATGTCAACCATTTTGCTTCCGTAAGTCCATAACAATTATACAATTTTTCGAGTCAAATTTTCAGTTTTTATATACTAAAATAACAAACAATCTTAGGTAGAGAAGAATTATTAGTGTTTTTGTGATTACGTTGTCGTGTGTTATGCAGGACATTCGCAATAAAGGAAAAGGAATTGAGAGAAGCAGCAGCTCCAATTGGTTGTCATGACTAACCAATTTTCAAAGAATTATCTATCTACTACGTACTCGAGTTTTCTTATAATTTTGGATAATGTTTGTGAAACCGCGAAATTTTGTAAAGTTTTAGTCGATGTTTGTAGTTTAAATTAATCGGTTAAATCAAGTTTTAAAAAAAAACAAAGTTAATCACCAAATGTCTGTCACTCTGTTCTGTTCTACTAATCGTTGCTAAACCGGTACTCCGAACCAAAGTCGGTACGATCCGGTTGGATTGTATCTCGCGTTCCTTCTCCATAAAAGGGCATAAGTGTAATTAACAATAAATGAAAGGGCCAAATAAAAAAAGCCCACCCGTCTCTTCTTCTAGTTTCATTCCATAGCTTTAACCTAATT